TTAAGAATCCTAAGCGTCAGAAATCATGGGTAAATCCAGGCGAACCATCGACATCCACTGCAATCGCTTTGGAAAGAAGACAATGCTCTGTGTTTGGTGGGGTCAGAAGGGTGTAATCTATTATGAGCTGCTAAAACCTGGTGAAACTGTGAACACTGATCGCTGCCAACAGCAAATGATCGATTTAAATCGCGTGAGAAACGACCGGAATATGGAAAAAGGCAACACAAAGTCATTGTGCTGCATGATAATGCCCCATCACACACAGCAAAACGGGTCAGGGAAACGTTCGAGGCGTTCAGTTGGGAAATACTGACGCATGCGGCTTATTCTCCAGACTTGGCTCCGTCCGATTATCATCTATTCGCATCAATGGGACACGCTCTCGCTGAACAACGCTTTAATTCGTATGAAAATGTACGAAAATGGCTCGATAGCTGGTTCGCTTCAAAAGAAGAAATGTTTTTTTGACGTGGAATTCATAAACTGCCGGAGAAGTGGGAAAAATGTATAAATAGCAATGGACATTATTTCGAATAAAATATTTTTTATCATTTTCAAACAACAGACTTGTTATTTTTACAAAAATATTCCGGTTTCATACTTCTACACCTGGTAAATTAAGCCTGGGGTACATGTCATCTCTAGACGTTCGAACGCAACATGTCTTTCATAAATTTGCGATGGGCAGACTTCGTTAACGTACTTCATTGTACAAACTGTATTTTTAAACGGATGCGGAAGAGAGAAGAAATAGGCTGGACGATGTTGCACGAATTGGAAAAGGGCGAATAAAACATGACGTAATAACGCACAGAAGGAAAACTGATGTAAACTTGGTGAGTGGAAATCCCGAGATTTTAAACCGATGATATTAATATTGAAAAAGCTACATTGCCGATACTCGGCCGGGGCGTATAAATGTTGCTCATTAAATCGCGCAACATGAACTCTGGTGCATCTGTAGTTTGTTAATAGCGAATCATGACTTAATTTCGATTAAAGGCCACAAAGGAGTCCTAATTTGCATATAGCCATTTATTATTAATATAGAGATTAAATGAAGTTTCGGTCTGTAATATATATATATCGAGCGATGATAATTCCTGAAAGAATCAAGTCAGCCACACATTAGTGTTGTATCAAAAGATTAATTGAAGATGTATTTGTAATATATCTTGAGAAACGAACAACTTGCATTATGCATCAACTTTGCTCACAATGTATCTAGCAATTTGTTTCATTGTTTTCATCAATATCAGAATATTTTGTACATGATGATAATTACTACATTGTTTTAATCTTTTATTATTTACTGCTTTATTTGACCATGATTTATTCTTTTTATTCATGCGCTTTGTTTTATTTAATTTCGAATCTTATATTGAAAATGTTTTAAAACATAACAGAAACATTCGAAGTTTATTGTTGAAAAATGTGTATTGTGTATTTATCGTTCACTTGTAGATTTATGATATTTCTTCTAAATAATATTACACACAAAAACCAAGAATCATTTGGCTCTTATTATTAATTTTTCTGTTGTATTGTTTCATGTATACAGATATTATAAGCAACGTATAATCGTTTGTCAAACGACATTCGGATAATGGTGTTTGCAAATTGATAGCACATAAATAACTAGACTGAGCATTCTACGAGAGGAAAGTCTAATTAGTGGTGAAGGAAAGTTACTTCACTTTGACTAGATCTGCTACTGTTCCTTCGGAAATATTCCACTTTATTGAGTTTTATAGTTCATCTTGGAACTGTTACCTTAACTGAAATAGCATTTTAAGAAGGTATTTGTTACGTTAATATATTGTAAAGTATTGACATATTATCAAATGTATACAAATGCAGCAAGGACGTGTGAACCGAATGATGATAATTCTAGCTGAATGATCTGAAGTGTTGTTACTATTTCCTTATAAAAAATCGGTACATTTGGTTTTAATACGTTTTAAACACTTATTCTTTGACACGTTTTAGAAGACAGTCAATTATGTAATGAAGAAACTTAAGTTCTGGGAATTAATAAAAAATAAATTTTCTCCTTGAAATATTGTTCACATTCCAAACTGCATTGAAAAAAAAGGTTAAAACTGTTTGAAAACAAAGTGTATAGTAAGTGACAAAAAGGTTGCAACACTTTGTTCGATGAGTTACGATGAATAACATATTTGATATTCAATAGGAAAAAAATATCTCCTAAGAATTACTAAGGAACAAATTTTCCCATTAGACACTGGATGTGTTCCAAAAGTGTTGCAAACTTTGATTGTCGACCACACGCACATATGCTCGCACGCACACACGCACACTCAGTCACAGATTGAAAATGGCATTTTTTTTCATATGAGTTTCGCAACGCATCCTGTGTCCAAGAAGAGAATATGTTTTTTTAATTATTCTCAGGAAATACATTTTTCTATTAGCCGGGAGATAGGTTACGAAATTCATCGGGAAAAATTGTTACAACTTTCAATTTGCAATCTGTATGTGCGTGTGCGGGGCATATATGGGTCATATGCGAAAATTTGTGCACGTGTGTGCGCGCGTGTGTGCGTGCGCGTTTGTGTATGTGTCGGTGTGGGGACAACTCCATCAATGCAGTCCCATTTCTTGGACAGTGACATCGAAAATTTTCAATCGGGCTTATCATTTTGGAATGTTTGCAGCATCATAACTGCTGCTTTCTAGCATCATTGTTAATTCACCAAATGATCAATGGTCATGATGAATATTTGAACATGTGCCTAATTTTCGAAGTCAACATATCTAAGAAATGGAACTGTATTAATGGAGTCTCTTGAATGATCAATTAGAAAAAAGTTGTTGCTATGAGTTTTGCAGCCCATTTTGTATTTAATGGGAAAATATATTTCCTGAAAATTACGGAAAAGCAAATTCTTGTATTGAATTGAATTTATTTATGGGATGCGTTCCAAAATTTATCAAAAAATTGTGTTGCAATCTGTTTATGACTGGCCGTATATCTTTCTTGCCTTAAAAATATTTCGGAATGCTTTTTCACTGTATTTTTTGAATAAGCTGTATTTGTTTCCGGCTACATAGAATCATAAATCTTTTTGCATGATGATAATATATATATTAAGATAACCCGGTTTTAGTCGATTTTATTACGAAAACGAAAAAAGTTTAAAAACTATATTTGTTTCTCCTAGTTTTTATTTCATTATGACGTTTAGAACTGAACGTCTAGAACTGAAGAAATCAAGAATAACATTTGCTTCATACAAAAGTTCTGCAAGTTATGCGAACAAACAAAAATAGTGATGGTATACAAACTGTATTTTAAAATATTATTCACCTATTAGACATAAGCTTAAAAACTTAGTTTTAAAAAATAATGTAAATGTAATAAAAGTAATATAAAGTAATATAAATATAAAAAGTAATATAATGTAATCAAAGTGCCAAGGTGAGTGTAAGGCACCAATATAGTAGACTGAAGAAAAAATTTTATATAGTAGTTTCAGTATCTATCTTCAGAAGCGCTACTGCGTTTTATTTGACATTATGTTAATATCTATGCACACACAATAATGTACTGCTCATGCAGACAGCAAGAAATTTAGTTGAATAAAGATTGACTATCAATCATTTTTGCTCTCTGTCCTTCGTAAAAAAGTATACAAAGACAGTTTGAAAAATTTGGTAAATTTCTATAAGATGGCGCCATAATTTATAAAATAACATCACTGCTGGCAAGTATTATTCTTCATGTCCTCAACTTCTGTCAAAATTTCAGCTAAACACGATGCATAGTTAACGTTTAATAGCCATCTAAATCTATCAATTTCGCATTTGCCACAACAATGGAAAAAAATAAATTCCTTGCCGTCATAAAACATTATTATTTGAAGAAATTAACAGCCGCTAAGATCAAAGCCGATTTGAACGAAGTTTATGGAGACTTTGTACCAACGTTGTTTATTTCTAAATGAGTTTAAACGTAGTCATATATGCATTTAAGATGAATCGCCCTCCGGACACCCAATTCAGGTCACCAGAGATAAAATCGTTAAAAAAAATATCCATAATATCGTAATGGAAAATCATTCAGTACACATATGCTAAATTGCTGAAGCTATAAGCATCATAACTGAAGAGGTGCACAATATCTTACACAAAAAATTGAATATGAAAGTGCTATTTACGCGATTTTTGCCGCAATTGTTAATTGTTGACTGAAAACGCATTCGAATAGACATTTCAATACAGTGTTTAGCGATATTTAATCATAAGCCGAAAGACTTTTTGCGTCAGTTCGTTAATATAAACGAAACTTTGGATTCGCTTCACAGCAGAATACAAATATCAGTCAAAACAATGGACAACGACTAGTAAAAGTGCGCCGACGAATGTGAAGACCGTTTTGTCGTTTGGGAAGGCCTTGTCGGTTTTTGATGGCCATTGTTTTTTGGAATTCTCAAAAAATCATCATGATTGACTACTTGAAAAAAGGTAAGATAATAACGAAAGTCTATTATGCGATATTATTGGACCATTTGAAAGAATTGAAAGAAAAACGGCCATGATTGGCGCATAAAACGTGCTCTTTCACCAGAAAAATATTCCGTGCCACACATCAACCGTCGCAATGGTAAAATTGCGTGAATTGAGCTCCAAATTGATACTTCATCCACTATATCCCTCATACTTGGATTCGTGTGACTTCTTCATGTTCCCGAAAAAAAATTTGGCACGGTGTGAAGGAATTTTCGTCAAATTAGGATATTATCACCGCTGTCAACGACTATTTTGCAGAACTTGACCATTTTTCAGACGGGATGAAAAAATTACAAAATCACTAGGCCGTTGTATCAATTATCTTCCAATTATTTATTGTAGTGTGTAGTTTTCAACATAATTTTAAAGGTTATGTTGAAAAATAAAATTTATTTTTTCATAAAAATGTGTTTTACTTGCTGTTTTACCAAACTTTACAAACTACTCTCATATATATCATATATCTAATTGGTAACGTCATAATGTAATAATATCAATGATTTTATCACCGACACCCCTATCTGAATTCGGACAAAACAATTTAGATACAGTAAAATTGGAAACACAACAAACTGACACGATTGAAAGTCACTGCCGACGAAGAAATCGGAGTGACAGTATAGAGTATAGAGTGTGAAAAGAAACGTGTTCAAATTAATGCAACAATGTATTAATACATTTAAGAATATTCTAGATTTATCTGTTGCAATATTGGTAATTGAAGAATACCAAAATTTTGTGCTTGAAATATACTTCATGTAAGTATACTTCATATGTCGATAGTATATATTGAAATATTAAGCAAGTCGCAGGAAATGAATGATAGCAGGAATCATATCTTCTTTTCCGATTTGTAACTGTTATCTTAAACAAAAAAAAATAAAAAACATAGGAGGGACTACGAAATATATATAATTCAAGTAGACCTGTAAGTAAATCTTTGAGAGATTAAAATCGAAGCTGACTTGCTCCATAATGAGCAACATTCAAACTTTCAGCGAGGGGAAACTTAAGAAAAATGAAATGAAATATCCCTTTTGTTGAAATGGTTCCGAATGGTTCGATGCCGACGGCAAGAAGTTAAAGGCGATACTTACTTCACTGCGGTGCCCTCGTAGGTTGTAATTCGCCCTAAGTGGAAGTTCCATGGCTCGAGTACGACAATGCGACGTAGTAAAAGTCACTCCTACTAAGCCGCGGGCGTTGCCGGTGGCTAACCATCCCTCCTGGTAGTAATTTGTACGGTCGAGTTTCCATCCTTCGTCCTGGTAAACAAAAGAAGAACGGTAGTTACTTGTTCGCGACGTAGCGCAAGACGTCATGTCTTTGATCGATGATTTCACGTATTAACGAAGAGACTTTTTAATGATTTCTTTCGAAAAAGACAATATCAATCACGATAAGCACCACAATTATTTCGAAATATATATGATGCAGGTGGAACTGTGATGAACTGTCATGTAAAATATTGTGGCCCAATTAACTAATTAATTCGTCGAGAAGTGGTTAAATGAAACACCTTCTTGAAAGTTATATGAGAAATTTTATTAGAAAAAACCATCAATCAGATAATTGAATTATCATGATACAGGCGTCTCTTGAGCTGATTCATTATTCACTCCGTAAAGTTTCGTCTCTATAGGAATGTCACGAAGAGTGATGAATTAACTGCTATAAATAATCCGTTTCTTTAATTATCGTTATTATCGTATCCTTCAGTATCATAAAGCGCGAACGTTCAGTCGAAATCAGCATTGAATGAAATGTTTGATGGAATAGAGAACTGTGCGTTACTATTCGTTAGTGCATGACATTTCCAATTAGTAGAATATTCAAATTCGGCGCATAAGATAACTTCAAGATATCTTTAAGAATTCTTTAAGAAATATCTTTAAGAAACGTCTTAAAGACGTTTTTCAAAGAACTTTAAGAGATATTTTAAAGCTGTTTTATGCCAATTTTAAACTTTCTGTTCACTGAAGTCTATCTGTAAATAATGTGACAGTCATATAAATGTGACAGTTTCGAGTGGCGAGGATTTCAATGAAAGGGTCTCATCCTCAGACTGTTGTGCATATGTAAGTATTACTATTAGGTGTATAACTTCATTCTCGACCTTTCTAAAAAAAGTATGTTGTCTATTTACAAAAAAACAAATAATCTTTCAATCTTCTGGCATTTTTCGGATAACTGACGAAATCTGCTTTAGAAAAAGGATCGTAGATTGAAATTGATAAACTCATCGAAGCTTTTGTCGACCTCCTCGGGAGACTTGAAGTAAGAATCAACCTGTTGATGTAGCAGGGATCGGGAAAGTTGGTAATCCGAAGGGGCGAGGTCTGGAGAATACGCCGCATGAAAGAGAATTTCCCAGCACATTTCAGAGTTGACTCCCAAGGTTGTTTTCGCCGTGTGCTGCTGCGCATTATCCTACAGCAAAATCGAGTACCTCTTTCTAGCATCGGTAAAAAATCTTCTTTTTTCAAGTACATCGGACAATCTAATCAATTATTGCTGATGACGCTCAGAATTGACAGTTTCGCCGAGTTTGAGCAACTTATAATAAATAACGCCGATGTTCCCAAATACACAGAACACTTTTTTGCGTGAATATTTGGTTTTGCGGTGATGGTCGATGACTCACCCGGATAAACCCACAATTTTTGATATTATTATAATGTATTCAATTTTTATCACCAGTCATTATTTTGCACAAAAAGTTCTTTTTCAATCTTGATAACAGGCACATAATTATGTCGAGGCATCTTTTTTTGTTTCCAGGATTGAGGACATGTAGAATCCAACGACCCGCCTTTTGAATCCTACCAAGCTTATATAGACGTTTCAAAATAACTTGTTAAGTCACTGCAAGTACATTTGTAAGCTCTGGTTGAATCTGACAAAGATTTTCTTCCAAAAGCTGTTCCAATTCTTCATCTTTAAATTTCTTTGATTGTCCATAGCGTTCTTCATTCTAAAAATTATAATTACTCTCCTGAAACTTTTGAAACCATTTTTTACACGTATTATAAAACATAGCATTTTCACCTAAGACGTAGCAAATCATTTCCTTAGCCTCGGAGATATTTTTCTTCAATTGGAATGCGAAAAGGAGGCAGTGCCTGACATGCTGCTCCTCGAACGACATCACTTTCACTATTATTTTTTGAAATTATATAAGCAGCACCGTCAACTATTACACTAGTTTTGAAGGGTGGCACTTTAAAATGAGAAATGTCATCATGTCCGGATACGGGCAATAGGAGAAAGACTTTAAAATGGCGAGAAAAAAATTTTAATTTGAATAACTGTTGCAGTTGATTAAATATAAGGACCGAGAAATAAGTTCTACACCTAACACTTACGACAAAGAATATTTTCTATCATTTGAAAAAAGCGATATTAAAATAAAATATTTTTCTGCACCTCGATATATTAAGCTTGCCCCGAAATAAGCAATTTTAAGCACGCGTATATTTGCGAAAACAAAATTACACTTGTTTTTAGTATATATTAATATATCACATCTGCCCAAAAAAATTGAAACGACGGGGAAAGATTTTGACATATGAAACAATCACATATACAGAAAATATTAGATTTAGGTGGTAATTCACATCCTCGTCCTTTGGTATTCTTGCAATTAATAGACCTATTTTTAATTTTTCCTCCCTCTATTTTTCTCAATTTAATACAGTATCGAATATCTATTATAAAAATATATTCAGATAGTACATTAATCAACATCACTCCCTCAAAGAAGACGTGCGAAAAAAGATGTTTGTTATTGTTTGTTATTTTTTTCAATATAACTACGAACTTTTCCTAAGTGCATTTTTTGAATATTAACATCAATCTTTAATTTACAGGGAAACAACGTTCTTTTTTCCTCCGTAGAAGAGTTTTCCTTGAAATATTGTGTAATATAACTCTATGAGCACAAAATTCTTATATTATATAATATTACGGAGTTTTAATGAAATTTCAAATTGAATTACGGATGATAGTCACAGCAATCCACACGTGCGTATTCGATAACTTCTGGTAGACAAAATCAGATAATACATATGCGCAGTATTCACTGCCCGCGTATTCACTGCATTGCATGTAATTAAGGCACGATCTAATAGAGATATTTTGTTAGTTAGTCGGAAAATTAGATAAGCTAATACACTAAATTAATAGAATCTCGCTAAAAGAACCGGTTAAACGATTCACTGCGAGCAAAGCAAGTAGTATTCAACTGTGAAGTACGAGGGTGAATCAAATATAAACGATTCTTTTTAAATTGCGCGTCCGTCGGCGGCGTGAGGGGTCAGCAACGTTTTGGACAGTGGGGGGGGGG